TGTGATTGGGTAAAAAAAAATTATTATTATTTTTTTTTTGTAAGTTTCAGCCAGTGGAGGCTCGCCACCTCACTGGAGGTGCGACCCCCACTGAGGGTCTGTAGCAGGATTGTTGTTAATTATATATATCCAAGTAACGCTTAAGCAACAAGTTTTATATATATATAAAGAGATATGGGGAATCAAATGTGGTCTAGAGAATATTCCTTGGTAAGTTGGGACCACTTAACTAAAGTCTTGCTTTGTTTTTCTTCATCATAAGAGATGGCAATTTAAACCTAATCCGATGGGATTTTACCTTCTAATCCTGATTAGAATGGATTTTCTCCGAAAAATATCCGATGGGATTCCACCTCCTAATCTCGATTAGAATGGTTTTTCTCCGAAAAATATCTCTGACGGGACGGGAATGGTATTAAAAAATCAATCCCCGATCAATTTCGGGTCGGGGACGAGAATAAGTGTCCAAGCCCCGTACTTGCCATGTCCCTGTCCCCGCCCCGGTTTGTTTCTTGAAGTAAAATTACAATTTTACCCCCATATATATATATACCAAACCTAAAACATTACACACTCGCTCATACTTAACACATAGAGACGAGATGACCGCTGCTGCTCTTTCCTTTCTGTCACTGATGCTCCTCCCTCACTGCTGCTGTGCTCCCTCACCGCCGATCCTCCCACTCTCTCTCACACATATGACAGCTGCTACTCTCTCTGCTCTCTCACGGTATCTCCTTTCCTCTCTCTCACGGTATCTCCTCCTCACTAGTTACTCTCTCTCTCTCTCTCTCTCTCTTTGATTTTTGCTTTTGTTCTTCAGATTTGGAAAATAATAAAGATGAAAATGAAGATGTTGTTGAGCTCAGATCTGTTTTTTTTTTTTTTTGATAAATAAGCTCAGATCTGTTGTTGATGATCTAATATGTAAGATGATGTGTTAGATGATGAAGATGATGAAGCTCAGATCTGCTTTCTTTTTTTTTTTGATCAGCGAAGCTCAGATCTGCTTATTGTGTTAGATGATGAAGATGATGTTGTTGTTGTTGTCAATGATGTTGATGTTATAGTTGATGAGTTCTTGTATTTTTTGGAGTTGATTTTTTTTTTTGGCCGGGGGGTTTTCGGGGTCGGGGAAACCCGATCCCCGTTAGGGGCGGGTAGGGGGCGGGGACGGGGGCGAGGGCGGTGATAGGTTCCCCGTCGAGGATTGGGGCCAGGAACGGAGAAATTTCCACCATCGGTGATCGGGGATGGGGAGTGTGATCCCCAGCCCTGCCCCGGCCTGTTGCCATTCTTAATCCCCCTCTTCCCAATCTTTCTAATAAACTATAACAAGGGGGATTCATTAGGAAATCATTTTTTCAAATATTTGTATCCTAATTAGTCCATAACATATTTTTTTATTTATTTCAATAAGTCTTATTATTTGGACATCAGATCAAAATTTTCATATTTAAGGTATTGTATGGATAATTTTACCTTTACAATATTTTTTGAACGCCTAATAATTTAGTGATATGAATATTCATATTTTATAGTGTGAATATTCAAATTACAGAACTTTCACACTGTTAATGTGAATATTATTATTAGGGGTATTTTGGTAACTATGTCATCCATATGATTTATTAGAACATAAGAAAATAATTTGGACTAAGTGGAATATACGTAGGTGAAAAATGATTTGTAAATAACTGACCCAAAAATAATTTAGAATCAATTATGTTTTGACCTTTTTTTAAATTAATTTTCTAAATTTCATTACGTTCTAAGCTTTTAGAAATAAAAAATACATATTATAGTTTAATTGGTCAAAAAAAAATTATAAATTTAAAAAACTACATTTACGATAAAAAAAAAAAATGAATACATTTTGTCTTATTACTTTTGTAATTTTAGTTTATTCTATGTCAAACTTTACCTGATGATATAACAAATTACATTTGTCAATATACTAATTATTCTTTGTCTATTTTGTAAATTAAACATAAAAATTTGCCTACCCATGTTTAAAATTATAATTTGCCTTATGTCATACCTCTCCTATTAAAATGAATAATAGTTATTTTCTACGGCTATAATAAATATCAGAAATATGAACATGCCATTTATTTTAATTTTTAAACTTGTGTAAAAAATTTATGTATTTATGTTTAAACTATTACATGGATTTTTAGTTATATTTATGAATTAAAAAAAAAAAACTATCGAAGATCTAGTCAATATGAACTATGAAATATATTCTATTTCTAACTTTGGATTTAATCTAAAAAATTTATCAGTTAATTAATAATAAATTTAAACTTTACGTTTAAATTATATCATAGTTTGCTATGTTGTGGCATAGATGAGATACTTTGTCGTGTCAATATTAGATTAACATTAAAAGTAATCGAGAAACTAAGTTCAAATTTATTTTTATACTAATTATTGGCATATGTTGGTTTTAATTTATATTCAATCAATGAGTTATTGGGTCCACTTGTTTATTTAATTCTTAAATTGGTAAATATCTTTTAAATGATAAAATATGCAGTAAATATTTTGATACTTAAAATATTCTTAATTTTTTAGATGTCACGTGTATTTTTTAGTTTTTTAAAAATAAAATTTTGATTCATATCTTTTAATAAATATTTTTAAAATTTGAAATTATATTTTGAATTTCCTTTTTAAAAATTTTAAATTTCAAATTAGATATGAAGTAAAATATGGGTTTTTTTTTTTTTTTTTTGGGACTTTCTATATAAAGATTTTAAATTTAAAAATTATAGATTTAATTAAATTGGTCAACTCAGATAATTACAAATTCTTTGTCGTATTTATTATCAAATGAAACTTGAAAAGTTGTCATATTGATTATTAAAGTATTTAATGAAATGGTGAAAAACATATCAATAAAATGGAAAGAACAAATAGTATAATTACAAATGTATTTTATATTTAAAAATTCCAAAATTTTAGAAAATTAGATTAGAATTTGGGACATTTATTCATAAATTCCTCTTCATCTACTTATGTTTTATTTTTTTCAAATTATGTTCTTATATTTCAATAAGTCCTATGGGTGACATAATTATCAAAATACTTATAATAATAATATTCACATTAATAGTGTGAATGTTCTATGATGTGAACATTCACATTGTAAAATACGAATGCTCACATTACCAAATTGCTAAGTATTCAAAAAATATTTGTAAGAATAAAATTGTCCATCAAATACCTTAAATATAAGAATAAGGATTTGATAAATCAAATGTCCAAATAATAGGACTTATTGGAATATAATAATATGTTATGGACTAATTAAAATATAAGTACTTGAAAAATAATTTCCTAATAAATCCCCTTAAAACTTTGAACTTCAAATGAGCAATAATATTTTTCCTTGTATGATAGTATAGATTTTAAATTTCAAGTTCGATATAAATTAAATATGGGTTAAATATGGCTAGAATTTTAATTTGTTTTACTTTCCTTATAATTTTTTTTTTAAAATTTCAAAATTATAGATACGATTAAATGAGTCAACACATATTATTGCAAATTCTTTACCATATTTATAATAAAATAAAAATTGAAAACTTACTATATTAATTATTATATTATTTAATGAAATGGTAAGAAAATTATTAATGAAATAGAAAGAATGAATAGTATAATTACAAATGTATTTTTTTAATTTGAAAATTTAAAAAAATTAGATTAAAACTTCTTAATTTTTTAGATGCCAAATGTATTTTTTAGTTATTTAAAAATAATTTTTTTATTAATATCTTTTAATAAATATTTTTTAAAATTTAAAATTATATAAGACTACTATATAAATGCAGGCAGGCCAATAACAGAGTACCCTGTAATGAAAATTGTGCAAATTATTCTGTATGTATTGATAGTTGGAACACACAAGGATTGCCCAATTTATGTCTATTTACATAGCAATAAAATGTTTTTCAAGTTTAAAAACAAGCACCAGAAAAAAGGAACAATATGCCTTTTCAGAAATATATTACAAATTTAATACTTTTGTCCTTAATTCTAGTTAAGTAAGTTTGTTCTTATATATACGTGGAAGCTATTGTAGAGGAAACTCTAGAATTCAAATTCAAATTCAACTGATTATTTAAAAAATAATAATAATAAAATAAAAGAAAAGTTAGTTCAGAATAATTGAGAATCAAACTACTAGCACAAGGGGTAGGACGCTGTACGTCTACATACAGTTCCGTCTCTACATATATATTTTAGATAGTGTTACATGTATCAATTAATATACCAACAATGTAGTTATGACATTGTCATTTAAAAACTATGACTCCACTCATTATACAAATTACAAAAATAAAAAATCTCTCAAATTATATTACATCATTAATTGGTACACTAGTTATTACACTAATTGATGCATATAATTTTAGGCCTCGTTTGAGAATAGGCTAATTTAGTAACTTTTTGACTATTTAACGAAAATATGAACTAAAAAAAACTAGTATGTTTGTGATGACTTTTAGCTTTTTATGAAAAGATATGTAAAAAGTAGAGAGAAAATAGAATTATTGATTTTTTGGTATGAATTGTTGAATTTTTAACTTTTTTAATAAATTTTTGACTTTTTAAGTAAATCAGACTGTTGCCAAACGAGGCCTTACTCCTATAATAATGGGGTAAGAATAGTTGGTTTTATATCATTAAATATTTAACCAATCAAAAACTCACATTTGGCATCCAACTATGAAAAATTTGTGACGATGTCAAATAATATGGTCATTGTGTATCTTTCATCTCTGTCCTCCTATAAATACTGTCTTCTTTTGTTTTAATGCAATCAATCCCAGAATCAAACAACCAGCATCTCCATTTAATAAACAGAGTCGCTGAAGCCTCCTCATAACCATCTTGCAATTTGTTTGGAGGAGAGAAGACATGGAGAAGAAAATGTTGATGAATTTTCTTATACTATTATTGGCGGTTCTGGTTTTCTTTCACTTGTCCATGGCATCAATGGAGAAGAAGAACGATGTACAGAAACGAACATATATAGTACACATGGCGAAATCCCAAATGCCGGCGAGTTTCGACGAACACACTCAGTGGTACGACTCGTCTCTCAAATCAGTCTCCGACTCAGCCGAAATGCTCTACACATACAACACCGTGGCCCATGGATTTTCAACCAGGTTGACTGTTGAAGAATCTCAGTCACTCAAATCCCAACCCGGGGTTCTCTCTGTGTTTCCCGAGACCAAGTACGAGCTTCACACCACTCGGACTCCTCACTTTCTGGGCCTCGACAAGAACCCAGATTTGCTACCCAAGTCAAACTTAGTGAGTGAAATTATTGTTGGAGTGTTAGACACTGGTGTTTGGCCGGAGAGAAAGAACTTCGACGATACCGGACTGGGTCCGGTTCCGAGTAAATGGAAAGGGACTTGCGAGACCGGTACAAACTTCACTGCATCGAACTGTAACCGGAAGCTAATCGGAGCGAGGGTTTTCTACAAAGGCTACGAAGCCGCGGCCGGTCCGATTGATCCATCACAAGAAACAAAATCGCCGAGGGACGACGCTGGCCACGGGACCCACACCTCCAGCACCGCCGCCGGGTCCGTCGTCGTCAACGCTAGCCTCTTCGGTTACGCTTCCGGCTCCGCTCGAGGAATGGCTTCGCAGGCGAGGGTGGCTGTCTACAAAGTGTGCTGGACCGACGGCTGCTACGGCTCAGACATATTAGCCGGCATGGATAAAGCAGTCGACGACAACGTCAACATTCTCTCTTTATCGCTCGGCGGTGGATTTGCAGATTATTTGTCAGACACGGTCGCAATCGGAGCTTTCGCGGCCATGGAAAAGGGCATCCTGGTGTCTTGCTCAGCCGGTAACAGTGGGCCGGATCAATACAGTCTCTCTAACCTTGCTCCGTGGATCACCACCGTGGGTGCCGGAACTTTGGACCGTGATTTTCCGTCGGTCGTTAGACTGGGCAACGGTTTGAATTTCACCGGCATGTCACTTTACAAGGGTGCTTCATCGCCGAAAACGTTGCTGCCACTTGTTTACGCTGGTAATGCTAGTAATGCTACAAATGGGAATCTTTGTTTGCAAGGCACTTTGATTCCTAAGAAAATCCGTGGGAAAATTGTGGTGTGTGACCGCGGAGACAATCCTAGGGTAGAGAAAGGGGCTGTGGTGAAAGCGGCTGGTGGTGCCGGGATGGTTTTGGTGAATGGGCCGGAGAATGGCGAGGAGGTGTTGGCAGACGCCCATCTGCTGCCGGCTACGGAAGTGGGTTACAAAGCCGGCAAGCTAATAAAGAAATATTTGTTTTCGGATCGTAATCCGACAGCCACGCTTCTTTTTGAGGGAACGAGGGTGGGGATTGAACCGTCTCCGGTGGTGGCGGCATTCAGTTCAAGAGGACCAAATTATCTCACACCGGAGATACTCAAGCCCGATCTTATCGCACCAGGTGTCAACATCCTAGCCGGTTGGACTGCTACAGAGGGACCCACTGAATTACCTATTGACAAGAGACGCGTTGAGTTTAACATTATTTCTGGCACGTCTATGTCTTGCCCACACGTGAGCGGTCTTGCGGCAATACTCATGGCGGCGAAACCCGAGTGGAGCCCCGCCGCCATCCGCTCCGCTCTTATGACCACCGCCTACACTACGTACAAAAACAAGCACTTAATCCTTGACGCAGCCAACGGAAAGCCATCTACGCCGTTTGATCACGGCGCTGGACACGTGGACCCTATATCTGCCTTTAATCCCGGACTCGTCTATGATATGGACGTCAACGATTACTTGGGCTTTCTCTGCGCCTCAAAGTTCTCAGCGTCGGATATTCACACAATCTACAGACAGAATTTCACATGTGACCCAGCAAAGAAATACAGTTTTAGTGATTTCAACTACCCTTCATTCTCTGTACCTCTCCAAGGCACAAAAAGTGGCCACCGATACCGAACCACAGTGGTGAACCATTCAAGAACCCTCACTAACGTTGGCTCACCCACAACTTACAATGTGTCTGTTCATTTAAAAAGCAAATCAGTTAAAGTTTTGGTTGATCCAGTGTCCTTGAGTTTCGCCCGATTGAATGAGAAGAAAACTTATACGGTGACGTTTACAATCGGTTCAAGGCCAACTAATACATTTAGCTACGGATGGATCGTGTGGTCAGACGGAGAGCATGTTGTTAGAAGTCCGATTGCCATCAGCTGGATATATTGAACTAGAAATGAAAATAGTATATTATTGTTTAAAATTTTCCAAAAATAAATGCGATTTCTAGTGTTGATATTATTCTCTAAAAGATAAATCATGAGAAACCAAGCAGTGTACACAGTTTTTCATGTCTCTGTGTCCAATGGATTTGCCTGTATAAACACTCGTTAAAAATTAATAACGTAGTAATATATAAAACAAAACAAACGACAATGCTACGTGTCTTAATTTGTATTAAGATCCTGATTTGGTGAAATGATCTTCTAGAGTGATCCTTATAACGCGACTTCTGTCCAGCTAATGAAACAAGGACTGAGATGACTATTTACCAAAATGACGTAGTTTTGGTGAGGTGACCAAAAAAAAATTCTGGATTGCAGTGGTTCGAACATGACTGAGAGAGAGAGAGAGAGAGAGAGAGAGAGAGAGAGAGAAGGGACTGAGGAAAAGGAGAGAGAGGAGGGGTTGAGGGAGAAGGAAGCCATTAGCCAAAGTCGCGTGGCCAGCAAGATTCTGGCCAACTTGGATTGGAACTTGGCCATTTCAGTCTCAACAGGATTCTGGGTTCTGAGAATAGGGACACTGCAATTCTCCACACAAGTGTTAATCTCATCTTGGGTTCTGCTCCTGTCTAAGCACTCGTAAGCGCATTTAGAGTAGGATTGCTGCAGAGACCATTCAAAACAACCCATCACAAAACAATCAAATATAGGCATGTAAGTGCATAATGCATATAGAAACATGGGTTTTTTAGAGAGAGACCTGAAGAGTGAAATTGATGTTGTCTTGCACGTGAGAGAGTTGGGTTTGAGAGGCTGTGTTGACTTCGTTGAGTTTTCTCCTCAATCTCTCTGTCACAATTTGCTCTTCCGCTGCAGGGTTGCTCTCTCTGAAATCCCAAATTCGGAACGGAGTGGGAGGGAACTAGGCTATGTTGTTTTGGGAGATAGAGATGAGATTGAGATGGACGTAAGACCCATTCTATGTTGTGTTTGTTTTAGGAGATGGAGAGGGGATTCATAATCCCATGGAATTAGGATAGGTCTTGGTGTTCGGATTGAAATGGATGAGGTGGAGATGATATTAGGAAATTAGTTCTATGGGATTAGGTTTTTTTATTTTTTTTTAATTTTTAAAATTTTTTATTTACATGTTGAGCAATTTTTTTAACATTAATATTTAATGTTTTTGTATTTTTTGTTAAGTAAAAATTATAATTTTATTTGTTTTAATATTTTATATTTCTTTTATAGGGTGATAATTTAACAATCCTTACATTAATAATTACCATCAAAATAAACACAATTTTACTCAATTCCCTCACTATTAATCTCTTTTATTCTACCTCTGAAAACAAAAGGGGCCTAGTAGTAGTAGTAGGTAGAGAGAGGGGCAACGCGACTTCGTTGGCGGTGGTGATAGGGCGCACTACAACAAATTACACATTTGGTGACTAAATTTGGCGATGAAAAAAATTTTAGTCGCAAAAAATATCACTTTTTCTGTTAGTCGGCATTGGTTGAAGGTTTTAGCTACTACATTATTTTAGTAGCTATATAATGTTTATTGGTGACTAAAAAAACCTTTAGTCACTAAATACAACGAATAGGCGACTAAAATATTTTTTAGTCGATGTTAGTTGAAATTTTAGGCTATTAATTTCTCGTTTAGTCGCTATATACTATTATTTGCTGACAAAAATAAATTTAGTCGCCAAATAATAGGACATTTAGATGAACTTTTGGTAACACAAATAATTTAGTCATTGTATATTAAATTTTTGCCGACGAAAATAACAAATAATAGCCAAATGTTAGTTTTTGGCTACCAACATTTGTCGACAAATGTTCATCTGGTCTTCTATTATTTATGACTGGGGATTTTATTGGTGTATCCATAACTTTGTAGAAGGCCTTCTCAATTGGTGGTTGGGTAGCAGATTGAAGAGCTTTGATAGGCTAATTTGGAGAGCTATCCCCCTTATTGTTCTTTGGTCTCTTTGGAAACACAGGAACGAATGTGTTTTCTCTAAGACTCAACCCAATTTCTTTGGCTTGTGTGAATTAATCAAAATCAGAGCAGCTTTTTGGTTGAAAGCATCTATTAAGAATTTCCCATTCTCAATTGATGATTTAGCTTTCAAATGGAATCAAATAAGGCTTTGTTCTTGATTCCACAGATGGTCTTTGCCTTTTGATCCTCCTAGTCTTCTCTGCAGATCTGTTAGCCTGTTTGAATCTGTTCTGATTTGCTAGCCTGCTCTACTGATTTGTCTGGGTGATTTTGGTTGAAGCTGATTTGTTTGGGTGTATTCATCATCAGTGGCATGGTTGCTATATTCTGGGTGTTTTTCATCATTCTAGTTACTGTATTCTGAGAATGTATGATTGTTGTAGTAATATGGTTGCTGTATCAGGACAATTTGTTGTAGTAACCTGGTTGTTTTCAGGGTGTCCACTACTACAAAAAATAGTTAAAGATCATACTTTGATAAAAAAAAAAAAATCTCACTTTTATTGAAAGTGTGATAAAAAAAATTAGATTGATATTTTAATCATACTTAATTTGATTGAGTGTGATAATATTTATATTTTACGTCACTTTTCAATTAAGTGTGATTATATATGCATTTTTTTAATCACACTTTTTAAATAAGTGTGATTATATATATGTATATATTTTAATCACACATTTTAATTAAAGTGTGATTATTTATATATTTTTTAATCACACCTTTTAATTAAAGTGTGATTATATATACACTACTACTTTTTAATCACACTTTTTAAATGAATGTGATTATATATATATATATATATATATATTTTAATCACACATTTTAATTAAAGTATGATTATTTATATATATTTTTAATCACATATTCTAATTAAAGTGTGATTATACATACACTATTACTTTTTAATCACACTTTTTAAATAAGTGTGATTATTTATATATATTTTAATCACACATTGTAATTAAAGTGTGATTATTTATATATATTTTAATCACACATTGTAATTAAAGTATGATTATTTATATATTTTTTAATCACACCTTCTAATTAAAGTATAGTTTAATGGGTATTGTGGAAACTGGTCTTGACAAAGGACGTATTCATTTTAATTGTTTTCCTGATTTCACACTCAGTCTTAGAGATCCACACATATTAGATGCATTAACTTTAAATATTCAATTAAATGGTTCATTTACTAATATGAAAGAAAAAACTCATAATATTGCTTTAATTTACCGTGTCCATTATAAATGTATTAAAACCAATTTAAATGTTCAAGCTTTACATAAAAGTCCTAAGGACAAAACATTACTGATTCAAACTAGTAGCAATGATACTAATATAAATATCCCTCAAATGATAGAATGAAAAGATATTACTCTCCCTGGTCAATGGATTACTGTCATTGAAAATTACAAACATAATCAACAACAATCCACTAGTCAAGATATCCAAGATATTCAACAATTTACTGACGGTTCAGTCCGTATTAAATTTAATCGTAGTCAATCTTCTAGACATAGTACTTCTAGTATACCTACTGATCTTGAAACTGAAGATGAAATATTTAATACTCCTTTATTCCGAAAAAATAGTCAAATTAATCTTGGTCAACCCTCCCATAGTAAATTAAAAGGCATTGATAACTCTACTACCTCTCAAATTAGTAAACCTGTTTATTCTACTTATACACATTTCCATGAAGAAGATACTAAATCAAATAGTTCTCCTACTCAAACTGATTTCGAAGTAATACCTCCAATCAATCCTCAATTAATGACAATTAGTAAATCTTTTGCTCCTGATCTTGATAAATTACATGTCGAATTTAAATCTAAAGAAAATAGGACTAAAAGACATGCTTATTGTGCTAAATATGATTCTACTCAACAATCTAAACTTACTAGAAAATGGTATGATTTTATGATTGAATATAGTATGGAAATTCCTTTCTTTGAATATTTAGACAACTATTACAAAAAGGTTAATACAATCACAAAACATAAATGGAAAACTTCTCTAAATACTTCTGTTAGCTCTAATCATCCTCCTTTATCTAATATTATTATTGAACATCAAGGATCTGAAGTCCCAGCCTCTCCTTTAAGTTGCCTGGCACTGACCCTGAAATTAAAAAAGTTATTGAACAAAATAATTATACTAATCAATGTTTAAAAACAATTGGTAAACAATTAGATAAACTAGAAACTAATTTAGATGATTATTCTGCTAACACTACATCCACTAAACAATCTTTAGATCAACCTTTGATTAACTTACCCAGTAATCGTTCTAAAAGAAATAGTTTAGTCACTCAAGATACTTCTATTGTTAAAGCTATAGAACAAATATTCACTAAATTAACTACTTTGGAACAAGCTTCACTATCTAAGGAAAAATGTCTTATTGTCCTAAACCAACCTTTAGACAAGACTTCTACTCAATCAGAAACTAATACAACTGATAATGAAATTGATCAATTAGCTCAACAATTTCAATCTTCTCATCTTAATAAACTCCACTATCCTAAACCTCAACCGACTACTCTTACTAAAAATTAGTATTCTCGACCTACTCCACCTGACCTCCAATATGAAGAAACTAATCTTTTTAATCAATTTTCTGTATCTGCTAAAAAATTATACGAATGGAATATTGATGGTCTTAGTAAAGATCAAATACTTCAAAAATTAAATCACTTATCTATGGTTGCAAATAGTTATCTTACTAACTACCCTGATTACTCTCAACCTGAAATTACTTCTTTAGTTACCTCCCGTTTTACCGGTATGCTCAAATCTTGGTGGAAAAAATACCTTACTGAAGAACAAAGAGAATCAATCTTATATGCTAATCAAAAAGATGAAAATGATTTGCCAATCTTTAATGAAACTATTGGTTATTACAAACCTGATGGTGTTAACACATTAATCTATACCATAGTTAGACATTTCATAGGTACTCCTACTAATATATATTCTCGCATACA